GAGTAAGTAATTAAATTTTTGATGGTAATTAAAATATAATTAAATAGAAAGAAAAGATAACAAGGAATGAAAGGCGAATGGGACGTAAAAAGTGTTTTGCGCTGAAGTTGTTTTTGTATCGCTCCTTTGGATTTTTGCAGAGCCAACGGCGCTGACACTTGTTTTTGTGGAGACCAAACGTGGAGCAAGCGATTTGGCGTATTATTTGCAAAAGGATGGTTATAATGTGGTTGCAATTCATGGTGACTTGAAGCAATTTGAGCGTGAAAAGCATCTCGAGACTTTCCGTTCGGGAGCCGCACCAATACTTGTTGCTACAGCTGTTTGTTTCTCTTTTTTTTGCTGCATTTACATGTGTTTTGTTTTATTTGCAGTGGTTTTTCGTGGGGAGGGCTGTTTTGCAATTGTTTCATGCTTCAGGTTGCTGCTCGTGGGCTTGACATACCGAACGTGAAACATGTTATTAATTATGATTTACCGACAGACATCGATGAATATGTGCATCGTATTGGCCGCACAGGACGTGTCGGAAATGTTGGTAAGTGAAGGACTGCTTTGTTTTGATTGGCGCTCTTCCTGGCGAATTAGACGAAACCAGTTCTGGCAGTATTAGGGACTTTCTTCTCGTTAAACGAGTCGTCTAGTCAACACATTTGTGCATAGAAATACATGCCAGCTTTCTAAATATTTCTCTCCTACAGTGCCCATAGTCAACGTCTGATAAACGCTCTTCTACAATAACTGTACCACCCAGCATGCACGTATAAGTCGCGTTGTTAGCGTCCCATTCATATTGCTACTTCCTCCTCTCGACACTTCTCCACTTCTACATTACAACCTTCTCCTTTTCAAATGCCCTAAATTTATACTTTTTAAAAAATTCTTCCTGTTTCTGTCTTCTTTCTTCCTGCGTTCCATTCCTTCTTCTCATCTCTGAACACTGCGACCGTCGTACTGACGGGGCCAGTTGCGGTGTTGAGCTGAGACGTTTATAACTTTATGAACCGAAACATCTTAACTCTCTCGTACTTATTTTTTCTATACCAGCAATATTTCTACCTCTTGCATTACATAGTTCGTTCTATTCTTGCCTTCTTTTCTACTTTCTTCATATTACTTTCATACTACAATCATGCAAAAATCAGATTAGGGCAAGTAAGAGCAATGGAGACAAAACGCTGTTGAAACTAACAATTGTGAAAAAATTGACAGTGTTGATTTACTAAAGGACATATGTGTGGGTGTGAATGTGTAAAAGCTGTTGAAACTATTACATGTGAAGAAGCCGGCAATAAATGGTTCGTGTGTATGAATCTTCGAATGCTGATGAAGCTTTTACAGTTAAAGAAGTTGGCATTGTTAATGTACTAAGTGCATCTTTTAATATGC